TTCTTCAAAACTCGGTTAAAATGCCTCTTCGCCTGAAAGCCTTCCATGGTGCTGCTCCAGCTCGGCTCGGTGCTCTCTCTCAGGGCTCCCATCACATCTGAGTCATAACTTACCAGTGCCCTCATCACAGTCAACTGAAATGAGCTCCTGCCCTAGCTGCCTTCTGCACAGTTCAATTCTCTACTCTTCTTGTCAGATAGGGATGACCTCTGATTCACCCGTTTCCAGGACTACTCCAGGCCTGGCACAGACCAGGGTTCAGTGCCTGTTTGCCATACCGAACCACATTTTGAGTGATTACCCAATTCCCATGCTACCCTTGCCTTGACCATTGGCTTCTGCAGCGTCTAGCCGGTCTGGGAATGCGGTCCACAGCTGCAGTCCTTGAAAGCTGCCTTACGGAAAGCACTTTAAGGCAGGTGGTGGTCCAGAGGCTACTCTTTGCACTTTAACCGGATTGGTTGTTGTACCCTATATGGCCTCTACAGATCTGGGTGGTACAAATGGTTAAGTAGCCAGAGAAGGGTGGCAGTTCACATCCACCCAGAGGTACCCCAGGAGACAGGCCTAGAAACGTGCCCTGGAAAGTTCACAGCAGTCTTGCAAAGTCCTCTGGAGTTCTGTTCTACACACATGGAGTCTCATGAGCCCACTGCTGTCAGAGTTGGCTTGACAGCAACGAATGGCACATGGTCTCCGATTTTCCCACTCTCTGTCATAAAATAGAATAAACCACTTTATTTAGAGTCTGACCAATTCAGAAAATAATGGAAGAATTATTCATGGCTGGTCAGATGTTAAATGTGTTCAATATATCTCTGTTATATCAACATTTTAGGGGTTATATCAATATCTATTTATACAATGAACTTTTTTTTTTTTCAAAATCATTTTCTAAGGTGCTAATCCAGACATCAGATACAACAACATTTTTAACACTAGTACTGTCATTGTTAATATTTAGCTTATTCAATCAAGTGGGCTAAGTTGTTTTCTTCCCTCCAGTGTTCAGGCTTATCTAGTATGTCTATATCTTAATTTCTACTTGAAGATCTTAAAGATTTCCCCTAATTTTAGGCTTGCACTTAATTCTAGCCCAATCTAAGGACAATTAGTTCTTATGACATGGACCTGATTGATGCGGAAGAGATCACCTCATGAACAGATCACCAAAGATATGGGTGCTATAGCAAAGTGTGGTGAAGAAACTAGAGGGTGCCCAGCTACCAGGAGGATTAGCCTCTCGGGTCTTAAAGCAGCCACTAAGTGAGGTGTCAGCTAAGTCCAAATGGAAGAAACACACCAGCCTGTGTAATCCAAGGACTGTAAACAATAAAACCCAAACCAAAGTTGGAAATGGTATCAGAGTTTAAATTGCGGACCAGGTTTTCAGAAGGCTGTGATGCCAGTGGAAGCCCCAAATCCATTTGCAGGGTCCACATGTGGATTAAGCCTCCAGAGAATCTCCTCTGCTTACATAGTCCAGGGATATGAATAGCCTTGTTATCATCACTCAGAAAGCACGATAAAGTCAATTATGGCAGACGCAGTTAGGTTAAAGTATAACATCTTATCATTTGATCTCCCTTTTGACACATTTTAAAGCTGTTTCATTTTAAAAACAAAAGGGAAGAGGACACATACGTGGAACAGGCCTCTGCTGACTCCCTTCCAGCCACAGACCAGGGACGTGGATAGCCTTGCTTTCAAGCAGAATGCAATGGAAAGGGAATGACTACAGATCAGTTAGGTTAACATTTAACAACTTATTTAATCTCTTTTCTGACCCATTTTCAATGTTCTAGTTTTAATATTTTCTGCCTTCTCTTTGATTGAGGTTTGTATCTGTTTTATTTTGTCATTTTCTTGTTTTGTTTTTCTGTATATGAAATCAGGTAAATCAATAGAGACACTAACTGGATTCCTAGGAGGAAAGGCAGGGGAGGCTGGAGGGAAACGGGGAGAGACTAGCAATGAGAACAAGACTGAAGAAAATGTTCTGAAACTGACTGTGGTGATGCTTGTACAACTCATCTTGATGTGACTGAACTATTGAGTTGTACAGCTGGTTAGTTACATGCCAACACAACTGTTAAACAAACGAGGTGGAGGGCTGACAGTCCTTGCTTTGCGACCCAGGCATGCTGCAACTGCGACCTGCTTTTTCAACCCTCTCATTCTGTTCCTGGTATGTGGTATGCCCGTCTCTCAAAACCAGGATGATACCTGAGGTAACAATGTAGCCATCAGGGGTAGTGCCAGGGCAAGCGCCTACCAATGAGCTGAAGGTATCTAAGAGCAGGTGAGGGAAAACTGGGCCAGTGCTTATCTAAGCCTCTAAGAGATATTCCAGTTACAGACTTGGCTGTTCTCCAAAAGGCCTGTCATGTGATAAGCCGCTTGGATAGTAGATACGCTCTGTCTGTAATTAATTACACCTGGCCGTCCACAAGGCCCTCTGAAAATGGAACGCCCTCTGGACTTGAATAAAATGACCATTTGGGGTTTTGGGTTTATTTCAAAAAGCCACCTCTTGGGGCTAGAAGTTAGGGCACCAGTACACCACCTGACAGGACAAACGGAGGAAGGACGAACAGAGAAAACCAGATCTCAATGGGACTTGGAAAGCAATGAGAGGCATTTGCACAATCAATGACAATTAACCTGAAGGCTACGGGAGGCTCACTGGAATCTGAGGAATTCTTCCTGATAGGATGGAGCCTCATGAAGATGATAAGGAAATAGGTTCAAGGCCTTGAATAGTCAGGGGCAGGATCCAGGGTTTGGGTCAGCGGACTATCAGAAATCATGTCTGAGGGCAAAACTGGGAAAAGGCTACAGTACCTGGTGGGACTGCAGGCCGATGATGGAGGAATAGGCCTGGATAGTTACATAGATCTCAGGCTGGAAGTCCATGCATGATCCAGGCACTCGGAAGGGCCGCAGCAGCCCTCCCAGGCAGTGGGACAGGGCATAGAAAACTTCATCGAACAAGATCTCCCCGGTGGAATCGTCCTGAGGGCAATGCGGAGAAAGAACTCTCAGGGGTGACCTCAGCAGAGGGCAGAGACGAGCAGCTCCCATGGGTCAGTGGGGCCCTTATGCTGGTTTCACCCCCAAGCACAGTCTCTTGTCTTTAAATACTAACCATTCTGTGATGTGTCTGTGATGTCTCCTTTCACCGCTGGCAGCCTGGGACCACTTTTCCCTCTCCCCCAGACTGCGTCCTCCCTTCACCCCAACCCAGCCAGCTGTTCTTCTTACTGTCTCCCCACAACTCCTCACCACAATGCCGGTCGATGGACTAAGGTCCAGCTCAATGACAAATCGATACTGCCAAGCCAGGAAGGTGACCCGAGTGGAAGGAACCAGGAGGAATGGCCTTGGGACCACGGGTTCATCTGGTTGCCACCCAGGGGGCAGGACACTGAGGACTTCCAATTCCTGCTCAGACTGAAGCTGACAGTTAGGATGAAGAGAAAAGAGAAGCGTCAGGAAGAGCTACCCCTTTCTTCCCAGCACCTGAATTCTCACCCAAACTACACACGACTGGCCTAACTGCCTGGAACCCAGCCACACACTCCTTCCCCAGTAATCAGAGAAATGACCACACACAACTTCCTCTGTGGGATCTTGTGAGCAAAGTTGCTCGCCGCTCGCAGATTGTGTCCCTTAGCCTCACCGCCTGTCTCTTTCCAGCCCTCAAATCCCACCAGCCTCTAGGCCTCACCAGCAGTTCCTGGGGCGTGGCCTGCACAGTCTGATGCAGGTGATTGAGGAACCACGCCAGGCGAACGTTTCTGGAGATTCGATAATCCTTTTTCATCAAGAGGAACACCTGCCCTGCTTCTTCCACCTGGGGACAAGAAAACATGAATAAATCTGCAACAATTCACAGTACATAAAGCTCCCAAGACATAAAGACCACTGTCCAAGTAATGGTTTCTAGGAGCTCACAACCTGTAAGTGGGAGGCAAGGTTGCAGGGGTGGAAAGGTTACCTACCCTCTCCCACCCACTGTTCCCTCCGATTCAGTTCTCCGGTCTCTACACTCATTCCTTCTGAACAGGTCCGTCTCTCTTTCTACCTATAGATATAGATGAGGTGATCTTTCCACAGTATGTCCAAAGGTTTGTGTGTGAATTTTTCTTCTAGGCTATATGCTCCTTGAGGGCAGAAGTTGTGTCTTGTTCCATTTCTGTGTCCCTGAGCTTGGTACATTGCTTAAAACAGACCGGACATTCATCAAGTCTCTGATATTTTGAATGAATGCCATCCAATTTCTTCTTATAAGAAACTCAAAACACCAAACTCAAAAACCAAACTTGCTGGAATCAAGTCAATTCTGACTTACGGAGACCCTGTTGGACCAAGTAGAACTCCCCGTGGGTTGCCTAGACTGCATAGTTAGAGGAATAGAAAGCCTATGTTTCTCTCTCAGAGTGGCTGGTAGTTTCAAACTACAGACCTTGAGGTTACCAGCCCAATGCTGCCAGGGCTCCTTCGTCATGACCACAGCAGACAATAATCTTCAGTTAGTGGATGGCCAGCCTCCCCGATGCCTCAAAAGTAAACATCTGTGGGTCACAGTCTCTCAGACCCCCCCACCCCGCTTCAGCTGTCAACACATTAGTTTTCGGCCTCCAGGGCCTCACAGACAGTCGGCTTACTAATGTTCTAACAAACATCAGTTCCTTTGCCCCGTCCTCATCCTCCCGTGATCCAAGCCCCGCCAAACCTTGACGGGACGGATGTGAATTCTTCCTTGTGTACATATGACCACGGTGACTGCACTCTGAGCCAGAGAAATCGGTCCCTGCCAGTGGGGTCTCTACCAGCCTTCTTCATCTGCCTGGTCAGCTGCGGCTCCTTCCTGTTCACTGCAGCCTCCCCATCTTTCCGACTGCCTCACTCTACCTGAGAAGCCTCCCTGTTTCAGAGCAAGTAAGGATCAACTGGTTTGAACTCCCCTAACTCTGGCCTTTCACCTCTTTAACTAACCCTTCTCTAATTAATTAAAGCCTCCTCACTTCCTTACTCTTGTCTCATAGGAGAACGAGACGTGCTGGCAAGCATGGCAGCGCCCAGCGGTAAAGACATGGTGGCGGCAGAACTGGGGAGAGTTTATTTAGATATTCCTGGGTTCCTGAGTAGTAAGGGGGAAAGAGCAAAGAAAGGGCAAGCAGAAGTCAATGATGACCTACTGAGAGACGTGGTGTTGAATGAAAATGAAGCCCCCCTCCCATACTGGAGACGTGCATGGGAGAGAGTGAAAAAGCCCCTGAAAAGCAATGTCAGAGACAAGTGTGGAGAGCAGACAGGTGGCTGCTAGAAGACTTAGAAAACGCTGCCTTCTTCTCCAAGACAAGCAAAAGGATAACAAGATATTAAACAAAACCCCTGGGAAATGGCAAGAGAGAAAGTAGAAGGCAGGAAGAGGGCAGGAACTCACATTTTCCTGAGCACCTAAAATATGTGCAATAGTACAACACAGATGCTACGTGCACATTTCACATTCAGATAACCTGACTTTGAAATTCCAATTCTATCACTTATAGGCTGTGAGATCTTGGGAAAAGGACTTTACCTTTTTAAGCCTCAGTGTCCTCATTTACAAGGAGCTCCAGTGGCACTGTGGGTTCGTGCTGGGCTGCTAACCACAAGGTCAGTGGTTCAAGCCCTCCAGCTGCTCCATGCGAGAAAGATGAATGAGACTGTCTGCTCTTGTAAAGATTCCTCATTTCTGAAATCCTACATGATGTTGCTGAGAGTTGGGACTGACTCACTGACGATGGCTTGGCTTGGAGTTTTTGTCCTCATTTGTCAAATGGGGATAATATTACCAATCAAACAATGATGTTATGTGGATTAAGTGAAATTATGCATATAAAATGATCAGCACAGTACCCAAGTGAATTGTTCTTAGAATTTGGTCCTTCTAATCGTGGTCTTTTAACTCCCACAAAATGACTAGGTGGGGCTCTCTGTAGATAAGGTACATGGAACCCTTGTGGAGACCCAATGCCCATCGCTAGACAATTGGACATCCCCTCACAGAGGGGTCACAGGAAGAGAGGAGCCAGTCAGGGTGCAGTACAGCACCAAATGAAACACACAACTTTCCTCTAGTTCTTTGGTATTTCCTTCACCTATCATGACCCCAATTCTACCTTACAAATCGGATTAGACCAGAACAGGCACACTGCTACAGATAAGAGCCCGAAACACAGGGAATCCAGGATAGATAAACCCTTCCGGCCAACAATAAGAGTAGAGATACTAGGAGGATTAGAGGAGGGTGGGGGGAGAAAGGGGGAATTGATCACAAGGATCAATCTAGAATCCCCTCCCAGGGGGACGAATAATGGAAAAGTGGGTGAGGGGCGATGGAGGACAATGTAAGATATGAAAATAATAATCTATAACTTATCAAGGGTTCGTGAGGGAGGAAAAGGGGGGGCAAGGAGGGGGAAGAAATGGGGAGCTGATATCAGGGGCTCAAGTGGGAAGAGAATGCTTTGAAAATGATGATGGCGGCATATGTGCAAATGTGCTTGACACACTGGATGAATGTATGGATTGTGATGAGAGATGTAAGAGTCCTCAATAAAAGTATTTTTTTAAAAAAGTGTGACTATGGAAATAAGGGGCCCCACCAAGGTCCATTTTGCCATTCCACTAGGTTTGAAGAGAGTGAATCCCAAAGGTGGAGGATGGGACACACTACCATCAAGAAGAGCTGGGAGCAGAGCATGTCCTTTGGACACAAGGTCCATGTACAGAGAACCTCCTAGATCCAGGAATCAGAGACAGCCGTAACAGTGGAGATAAGTGAGTGCAGAGCAGTGAGAAGTGGTGGCTAGCCCAGCAGAGCTTAGCAACAAAGAAACGGTGGCCACAAAACCATTGGGCTTCTCGAGCCACAATGAGATGTCTACAATGTGTGTGGCTAAACCACAGAGCAATAGAGCTCCGTGCCTTTGGACAGGTGACTTGCTGGCAGACTAAGGTGCCTCTGAGCACTTATTAGTGGAGCTAAAGAAAGAGCTGTAACACTGGCCTGGCCACACCCCTGGCCAGGTCCTGAGTGGGGCTTCGCAGTAGAGAACTAACTGCAGGCATGGCTAAGAGGCTGTCCCAACCAAAGAATTGTATCCTGAGTTGTTCCTGTTAGTTCCAAGTTGATCTTGATCCTAAATTGCAACGTGTGTGTAATAAACTCCACAACCATGAGTATAATCTGAGTTCTGTGTGACCCTTACAACCATTTTTTTAAGCAAGTAAATAGTGCCACGGGAGGGATGCCTGGTGTTGGACCTGGTAAAGAGGTTGAAGGTGACGTGGATCTTGATGTAGTAAGACGACTTCTAACAGGATACCATTTTTCCAGCCTCGCACTTAGTAGCAACACAAAGAAGTTAAATAGTATAGATTACTACCAGGTACAGTACTAGGGTCTTTTAAATAAGTATACGCATCCAGTCTTCACAAATAAATATTGAACAGGAAGGGAAACTGGAAGCCCCAAAAGGCAAAGTGGATTAACATAGTAGGTCTCGAGTCAGAAGCCAAACCCAGGCCCGATAACCTTCGAAGCGCAGCTACATAGAGCGATGGATGAATGCAACTGGGGGTTTAGAAAGGCAGGAAGGATGGACAGTGGTCATAAGGACCACGATGGGGCAATGATAAATTATAAGTGAAAGGATGCTCTGGCAAAATCAGAAAGACAAAAAGAAAATGCCAACATGGGCAGGAGGTGATCTGGTTTCAGTCCGAGACTTAACTCACGCTCTGGGAAACCCTGCTGAGTTGATTCTGACACACAGCGATGCTACAGGGCAGCCCCATGGGCTTTCTAGCCCATCCCTGTTTCGAGGAACATATAACCAGGTCTCTTCTCCGAAAGAGCTGCCAGTGGTTTCAAACTGTCACTCTCCCAGCTAGCAATCAAACACTTAATCACTGGGCCACCAGGGTCCCTCAAGGAAATAGTACTCTCTAGTCTACTGTTTCCCTGTAGGGAAGCTAGGCCCTGGCTAGGAGTTTGGATTTTATCCTGGAAGTCAAGTTCCTCAAGGTTTTTCATAGGACAGTAGTAGTAATAGTATATAGATCCCCTAAAGATGAGGGGAGTGATTAATACTCAAAGCAGACATTCTGCAAACTGTTTGAGGTTGTTCCAGGATGACGAGAGGAGTTGTGTACAGGGTAAGACAACTGCTGCCTCTCACTGAGAAACTCTCAATCTAAACGTCAGCTGAACTCTGCTGGGAGCTTAGTGACATGGCATTTCAAGGGACCTTTGGGAGCTAGGATAAGCTGGATCTGGTGATTAACTGGAAGTGGGGGCACAGGAGGAAAAGGACAGAAGAGGTGTCAAAGATGCCCAAGGTACCCTAAGAAGCCAGTAAGTTGCAGAACGATTTCCAAGTTTGCTAGACAAATAAGATCACTGTTCACCATCATTTCTTCCCCTAAAAGGCCCACCAAATTGTATTCTCTCATTGCCAAGTCCCTAAAAAAAGAAAAGGAGTCTACTTATTGGCAAAGGAGGAAATAGAGCAACTGCTTCTGCTTTCCCTGTGTCTCAGTATCAGGGTGGCTCACTTTCCTAAGCTAGGTAACCTGCCCTTCAGAATGAACTGAGCTGATGTGGCTTCTCTTGTCCATGAATTATCTTAGCACCCTGACACAGTTCTGGTCTGAAAGAGAGGGTGGGACTTCGACTATTATCAGAATGGGAAGGTGATCCCAACCAATTCAGCAGTCTGTTCTGTTCACCACTCTATGCTCAGAGCCTTGTGGCATGCCTGGTGCATAGGAACGCATAGTAAAATGTTGTTGAATGAAGGA